AGACATTGTGTTTGAATTAAAAAAAAGAAAGGCGAAAAAGCGTAAGCAAGCAATGCACCAACCTATCTATTGGAATAAATCTGAATGAACACCTTTGCTACAGCTTGAACTGGTTTTAGGGTTTGGAGCATGGGGAAAACCGGGCGGAATTAGGGGAGGGGAGTGGGTAGGTGGGTGCGTTTGAAGACCCCCCCTGCCCGGGCTTTTCGACCCACCGGACTTGCGGCAGGACTTGGGCACTCGTTCAAGGTTCCCTTGATGGATGTATCGTAGATGAACAATAGATGAATATATTTATTCGTTGGTTAATCAGAGGTCTATATAAACCGCGCTCTGAAATTCAACCTCTTTTCCCAATGCTTCTTTTTTTTGACGTCCTCTGAGCTCCGCTTTTGGGTGCGTAGCGTAGTGTTGTGTCTAGCTGTTTCGGATGCAGGTCGGATGCAAGGATTAGAGAGAATGAGGGTTTGATGTTTTCGCGAGTTTCGGATCATGAAGCAGCGGTGTTTCTACTTCGACGATGAGTCGGGGAAGAGGCGTGAGGTTTCATCACCGCGGCCATGCTCGTCTCGCTGGAGACTTCAAAGGTGAATTGTCTCTCTCGTGTCCATCAATGAATGAAGGTTTGTGCGAGTTGTGGCTCATTCTCCTTCTTTTTCGATCGGACACTCTGTTTGCGAATGGTTGTCTGCGATCCTTTGGCAGTTACTCGTTTATGTTGTTGTGTGTTATATCTATGTCTGGAATCCACATAGTTTGCACCGTGCGGGTTTATGTAGACCTCCGAGGCAATGATGCAAGAACTCAAGATCTTGTGTCTATCCGCACGCAAGATCTCAGAGTAACTCTTGTTTTTTGAAGTTCCTGATAGGCAACAACAGGCGATGTTTGGTGTTAATCAACGTTTCGAATATTTTTATTTTTGTAGGAAAGTTTTACGGAAGAGACATTGAAAGATCCAAGGCTTGTTCCGTTTGACCGATGCGCACGCAAAGTCGTGGGGAAGGTTACCTGTGTGTCTGCGAGTGAACACATTAACACACTTCTCTTTCGTCATGACGAGATGCGTGACGGCGTGTGGTACATGACACGATTACGTGTATCTTTAGAACTAATTTAGATCAATTCTTTCCGAGTCTGTTTGTATTAACTACTAGTGTAACAAGTATCATGTATTGGGTTAAAATTCATTTGCACCACGTATCTTCCGGTAAAGTCCTGCCATCCTTCCTGTCGAAATTGCCGTCCTTGTGGGTCGCTTTTAAACTTGCTACTGGTTTCACACTATTCTGTCGTAGTGTGTACACGGCTTCTGCGCCTTGCAGGGCGCTAGAAAGGAACTTGCTTCCATGTAGGTGGTGAAGCGCTATCCTAAAAGTTCACGATGGAATTGGGTAAGATCATTGGGTGTCGTTATTAATGTTGCAGCGAAAGGCAACAGAGTATAAGGACTCTTGCGTGCGGGTTCAAACCCTGCAGTTGCCATCCGGTAGTTAGTCGATAGGTGCATTCTTTAAGGACACTGGAATGAGCAGGGTGCTCGTTTTCTATTTAGGTATAATATCTCCAAGAGCTTCAATGAACGCATCTTCTCGTCTAAATAATGTTTAGTAAATATTTAGTAATTGTGTGTGATCATGGAGCTTGTTTCGCCAGGGCATGTTATGTTTTGTTCCTCTGAAAGCATTTCTTAGGAGATTTGACGGGCGATGGAGAATACTACCCATTTTATGACTTTTATTTTTATAAGGTTTTGTAGTGCTTACCAGAGAGAAGACTTTCGTTACTTGATGATTACAGCTGGTTTTTACAAAAAAGAAATTCTAATATTTTGAAAAGTTTTTACTCCAGTAATGGTCCACGGTATCAGTTCAACATTGTAGCATGTCCACGATTTTTTATAATATTGAAATCTAAGACGATTTTTGACTAAGTTGATTCCTGTGAAGTTTCTGCGAACGAGGGATGCAAGTGCAAACGTGCATTCTGTTGCCGTCACTTATTTTTATTTATTTATTTTATTTTAGTAATTTGTACTTGTGGCTGGAGGCGCAGGGGCTTGGTTTAACAAGCGATTTTGCATTGCTACAGGAGATGAGGATAAAGCTGTTGACTTGTTACGCCTTGGACGTGAATCAGGATGGATAAATTGTTAGGTCGTTCGTGGCGAATTTTATGTGGAGAATTCTGTATCTGTCATTGATAGATGGTTATTTGTTACTGCTTGTGGGAAGCACTTAGAATCGATCGACTTTTGAATCGAATTTACGAAGGCAGGGGGAAGTTAGGGGCATATTTACCAACTGTTAATGGCAGAGTCTACGAAAAACGTTTTATCGGCGAAGCTTGGACCTGTCTTTGTCATCACGCTGATAAACTTTTTGTTAAGCAGTATGGGACATCGTTCTCCTTTTTGTGCGGCGGTGTTTTTTTTTTTACTTTTAATTTTTTATTCCTAAGTTATTTCTTGCACGAATGATTTCCAAGTTTTGTCCGAGTGACGGAAGAAGTAAGCATCAAGATAAAACGAACAACTATGTCAACTAAGGCAAGAGGTGCATACTTGATGCCAATATTAATTTTGAGATAGCACGTTTTTCATTTTTTCTCCACGATCCATTGTTATTATTATTATTATTATTATTATTATTATTATTTTCTTTGTATAGGTTCAAACCACTTGTTTCTGTGGCTTTCACGACATTCATGTCTTCTCATTCATGCATTTTTTTGACGTGTGTCACACGGGGGTGCTCGTACAGCAGACAGAACGCTTGTCCGAACCAGGGGGCTGAAATGGAGGAATTGTACGTTGTATTTTCTCATCAATCATGCATCTTTCATACTAATATATTCAGCTGATGGCTTTCTACAAGAGGCAGCTCGTCCTTACCTGATAGGTCTGTAAGTAGTTTGTGTTGCAAAAGGTGCAGGAAGAATCTTCGTTTTGGGTTCTGCATCGACGTTTGTTTTCATCATTCTGGCAAGGTGAACTTGAGCCACTCATTCACGCGCATTTGCCAGACGTTTACTCTCAAGTACCGTATTCAAGTTTCCGCTCAAGCATGGCTTGCTGTACTTGTTACCATGCAAATTCATTCCTATTCATGAGCTTGATTTTCCACATATGCTCAGAAGGTGCATGCACGTAATTGTTTGTCCAGTTTTTTTGTGACTTGCGCGTGATTTGTCCATGCCAAAGGAAGCAAAGCTGGTACTAGTTTTCATCGTGGAAGTTCAGAGCAACGACGACAAGGAGATCCACTCACGATGCACCCACATGTAAGTGGTCCTAAACTTCCCACCTGTCAGATAAATTGAGCTTTCATTGTACTTTGCAGCAACCCCACATGAGAATTGGATAGCTTTGATCGTTGTCCTCTAGCGAGGTGGAGGGACGTCATAGTTATCTATCAGCACTGGACGAAATGAAATTCTTTCAGAACGGAGCCCAGTTAGTCTCATACTCATTAAAAGTACCCCAGGTACCTCATGTAACTGCCGCTGCTTGTAGAAGCCTATCTACGTTACCACATGTCTGTGTGTCCAGATAAATCATTCGCTGTAGAGTATAGGAGAAGGTCTATTGTGCAAGAAATGAATGCTGCATTTGATCGATTCAGAGTAGCTTCCAGCGGCTCTACCTGAGACTCTTGTGGTTCAGACATCTGAAACATCAGGGAGTGTCAGACGAGTAGGAGAAGGCAGTGGAAAATGTTTGGGAAGAAATTCGTGGCGCAGTTGGAGATAAAGGCATCTTTGACGCCCCCAAGAGGGATGATCTGCTGTTGGGGGGGGGGGATGCCAGCTATAATGCCGAGTTTTTCGAGAATCTCCACATTTTTTCCCGTTGTATTCAACCCATCTGACGCCCACCATTGTCTCATTCTTCAACTTAAACTGGACATCCTGAACAGTAAAGCCTGATTAGCTAAGTTTATTGTTTGGGTTACAGCCGTGTTGTTTAACAGGTCGCTTTGCTCATGTGATATATGATAAGTTCATATTTGCCCTGTTAAGTACAAACCTATTCCTCTGTATTGGAAACCATGCAGAATGAAAAGTAATTATACTTCGTATGTGTTTGTTTTGAAAATGCGATTGGTACAGGAAAACTAAGGCATTTCGTGTGTGATGAAGAACATTTTATGTAGATAATTGTACTAGATTGAGGGGTCTTTGAATGAAAACTAAAGAATAACAATGTATTGAAATGCAAGTTCTTGAACCCAAATTAATCTGTGTAAATTGCACTAATTTTTAAAAATTTAATTTGGTATTTGTAACACAAAAACTGCAACATCTCACTATATACTTTTAAATCAATTCAATATGGATGTCAATCTGCTTATTCATTCGAGAATGTACAATTGAACATAAATTGTACTAACTCCAGAAAAATAATATGGGTAAAATTATCATGTTTATTAAATGGTATCAAGATAACGAAACTTCAGGTTTTTTTAGAAATTATTATTATTATTATTATTATATTGTATTTTGAGTTGATGACTTTTATTTAATTACATAGAGTGCAATGAATTTAATATACACAAATTAGTTTGTTTATCAGTTTTAAAAATTATATAAATACCAAAGATCTAAGTAAAAACATATGCTAAAAATTATGCTAACCAAATTTAAACATTTTTGCATAAAATGATTGTGTGTGTATATATAGTATTATGTAATATACCAATAATTTTTTAAATAATAAAACAAGATAAACGAAATTGATTTCAACTGTTTTACAAGATATAAATCATGCAACAACAAATAATAAAATAAAATCATAATTATAATTATCTATCATTTTAAGAAAAAAAATAATTTATAAAATTTTAAATAAATCAAATAATAATCAAATAAAAAATAATTTTTATCATAAATTATATGTAAAATATAATCCAAATTCAAAAAAGTGTGCAATAATTACAAATTAATATTTTTAATATTCATCATTTTAAGCATTAAAAATTATTTTTTTTGTAATTTTTATTATTGTTGTTATCAAAATAAGCGTCCTACTCCACCTGCTCTAGTTGCTCCATAGGTACCCGCAAATGCATTTTTATTAACTGCTTCACGAATAGCTAGCCCCCATTGACGTTTTTCATTTTGAATTTTCTTTTTCATTTCTTTTTTCTTTTTCTTTTCTTCCAACCGCTTCTTCTTTAGTTTCTTTTCTTCCTCTTCCTCAACTATGGGTTTTTCTTTAAATGAATCCAAAACATTGCTTTCTTTTTCTTCACTTGAATTACTTTCACTCCCATGGTCACTTTCACTACTTCTACTACTTCCATCTTTTAGCTGGATTTCATCTTTGGGAGGCTCCCATTTTGGTGGTATCCATAGTGGAGTATCTTTGTCTATTCTTGTTGATAATTTATGAAGTCGTTGCTTAAGAGCAATTTTTGTTAATTCTTTTGCTAGATTTTGTAGAGGCTCAACTTTTTGTTTAATCTCTTCTTTAACCTCTTGCTTAGTTGTGAAAATTGTTGCTTGTAATAAGGTTTCACGCGTAAGTTCATACTTCTTAGATTCTTGTAAATGTTGGTGTTTAGGACATTTAGGGCTTGGTGTGATTTCATGAAGTTGGAGAGTTTGTTGAATGGGCTTCCAATGTTTGGGTTTCCATGATTCAACCCTCGCCTTGGAATCTAGAGTGGGTGTAATAAGTGAAGGCTTTCCTTCAACTTGTATGACATTCCCTTCTTCATCAATACCATAACATTTTAGGGTTGGAGGTTCGCCTTTGATGTTGTTTTGTATTTTTATGAGCCATGGCCTGTTGAGAAGTTGCTTGGATGATGGGCATTTGTGAACTATGGGTGTGTCTAAGATTGAAGTGGTTGACAAATTTGTTTCCACGTCGGACTTTTCATTGATGTTTCCATCATCAAGGAGTTGTTTTTCATCTTCTGCTTGTTGCTTTACAAGGTATTGCAAAACATTGTGATTTTTTGTCATAAAATCTTCAGATAAATTGTATTTGATGTTGACTGTATACTTTTCTAAAGGGTTTTTGTGAACTTTAACTCCAAATAATAGTTTTAGGTTTTTGAATGATAGAAAGTGTTCTAAACGATTGTTGCCATTTACAGGTGTGGTCTTAACTTCTTGAGCACTACCTCTACCAAAAATTCTTTCAGTAATTCCCACCATATTGATTTATCTTTACAATAACAACATGAAATTATATGTGCATTGACAAGTAAAAAAATTATTATTTATGAATCAAATTATTCATTTCTAAATAAAAATAAAAATAAAAATGTGACATGTTAAAATTAATGAGGGTCCATCCAACAATCATAAAAAAAAGAAATACTGTTTTTATTCAGTGTACATGATTTTTTTTAATGTTATCTAACTATTAATGTAATATATGATTAAATTTTAAGAATATGCTGCATGAATGTTTTAAAACTATAAAAAAAAATTAAATTCTTATATCTTAGTTTTTTGGCTTTTCTTTAATTTACAATTCTGTCTGATTGAATTTTTATGAATGAATAAGAAATTCATGCATACTGAAGATTTTATACAGTAAATTGTAATATTTAACGTGTATAGTTATTGAAAATGAGAATTGTACACGTGATGATTATTGTAATATTTGATTAATGAATGAAAACTTAGTTTATTTTCTCATTTATTAAGATATGTAAAACCCAGAACAGTATGGCTTTATTAATACCAAAATAGTTTTGTAAAAAACCTGTTTCAAAGAATATATATACATTTTTTTATCTTTTATGTAATGATGTTTTCAAAAAAAAAAAAAAAAAAAATCTTAGTTAGGTTAGGATTTGTAATGTAGAATACTCACAGGATGATTTTTAGCTAATTCAGAAAATCTATGTTAATCGTTTCATTTAATGTATTATACAAAAATAACATTATCATATAACCATGTGCCATCATTTGGTTTTTAGTCTTTATTAAACAATAATTTGGTAACACATCATTGCTTTAAGTGGCTTGATTATAGATTAAAAATTTCATGTACCATCCACTATATATATATATATATATATATCTAACAATCAATTGCATTACCAAATTTGTGAAATATTATCATATACATAGATTAATTAAGAAAATATGATATAATGTACGCTTTTATATGAATTTGTGTTTTCTATTCCAAAATTGCATATCAAATGAATTTAAAAGTTAATTGATGGAGAGCTGTATAAAAAGTGATGGAAGAATCATGTGAATTTAAAGAAACCCACAAATGGGTTGGTGGTGTTAGAGGAGCATGGATGTGGAAGGAGAAAAAAACAAACATCGGAAGTCACGGGGGCCATCTCGGCAACAACAACAACATTGGAGGTCCATGTCATGGACAGGAGAACATGTTGATTTTTTGGATGATGGAAATCCTTGTTACGGTCATGAAAGTAAGAACGCACAAAACAATGTTGACAACATATCTTCATATAGAGTCAAAAATTTGACTATTAATTCTATTATTGAAGAGGTTGCCAATGAGTCCAATTGTAATGTTATCGCACCTCAAGTAGCATTACTATGCCCTCCATTACAATCGCTTTTTGTGTCACCCCAACAAATTGAAAGCTCTTCAACCAATAGCAACTTAATAAATGCAACTCTTAAACCTCAAAAATCGATGCGAAGTGGCACATTGAACATTAGATTGGATTTGGGAGCAGTACAAAGAGAATCTTATGAAGGGGAAGATAATGGAGATGATGAAATCATACAAAAAAAGAAAAGAATGATGCAATGTGACCAAGAATGCTCACAAGTTTCAAGCCACCTTTACTTTGGAAGCAACATGGTGGCACAAAACTATGACTTGCTTCATGCATGTAAGATCACACACATTTTGAATTGTGTTGGATTTGAATGTCCAGAATACTTTTCCAATGACTTCTATTACAAAACATTGTGGCTCCAAGACCATCCAAGTGAAGACATTATATCTATCTTATACAATGTCTTTGATTATTTTGAAAATGTGCGTGAAGAAGGTGGCCGTGTTTTTGTCCATTGTATTCAAGGAGTTTCTCGATCGGCATCATTGATCATTGCATATCTCATGTGGCAAGAGCAAAGAACTTATGAAGATATTCTTGAGAAAGTGAAAACAATACGTTGTGTGGTAAGTCCCAACATGGGATTTGCTTTTCAATTGCTTCAATGGCAAACACGGGTATTACCAAACATTTCATATGATACATCAAGCACCACTACAAGTCTTCCTCCTCCTTCTAGTCCTGCTTGTGTGCGATTGTATCGTATGGCCCCTTATTCACCTTTTGATCCTTCCCATCTTGTTCCTAAATGCGTGGCAAGTCCAACAATTTCTTCACTCGACACACGTGGTGCTTTCCTTCTATTGCTTCAACAAGGTATTTTTATTTGGCGTGGAAAGTTGTGTGCCAAAAACTTGATGGTGGCAGCCGATCGAGCTGCATTTCAATTCATCCATTATGAGCATGTGCCAGGTCCAATTGTTTTTATCCGCGAGGGGAATGAGCCGCGAGAAGTGTGTAAAGTGTTACACACAAATGACTCAAAAGGAAAGGTTTCCAGCTCCAACCACGAGCTCCAAAACAATGAATATTCATCAGATTTTGATATTTTACATCGGATGCAAATTGGGACTTGGGTAGCACCCACTTTGAGAATGGGCCAGTTGCCAAGTAGGAATGGAAATTGGCACATTAAAGATCATGGCAGCAGTAAACAAAAATTAGAAGGCTGAAGTACGAATCATCCTGAATTAAAGAGATATTTGTCCCATAAACATATTCATTTTTGGTGATCCTGAATTTTGAAGGTAGTTGTAAATTTTTCGTGTACAAAATTGGTTATCATGATTTTTCAAAATAAGTATAAAAAAATCTGTTGAGAATCTTAGACCTACATAATAAATATACCATTTTGTTTATTTTAAATTCATACCATGTTAATTTAATTTAATAAAAATATTTATTATTAATATTAATTTTCAATAATGTTATGTACAAATAGTCCCTTAAGATGATTCTTTTTCTGAATATTTTATTAACTATCATGCGTTGCTACGTGTAGTTTAAATTGTTGAAGCTCAAAGTTTTGTGTAACTTTTGGGTTTGTCTTTAGAATCATACAGTTTTAGGAATCTGAATGTTTTCAGCCTGTATTTGGTTTTGTTTTGTTTTGTGTTTTTGGTTGTTTTTATTGAATCTCAAATTCTTGCAGTGTTTTTATTTTCTTACATCAATCAAGTATCAAAATGTGCAATTCACAAAGGTTGAAATCTAATGCCATCTAAATAACTTAAATTAAAGTAAATTAAGATAATTTAATTAAATAGTAGAAGTTTCACAAAATTTTATCTCTACATTTAGTTGTACAGTTTTAGGAATTTATGCCAACAATTATTCTGATTTATGGTGTTTGTAAAATATGATTCTTTTTTTAAAGATATGCAATCATAATTAAAAGATCTAATTTTAAATATATATATATATATATATATATATATTTTTTGTTTCTCAACTTCAATTTAGTGGTGTTACCAAAAGGCATTAGACAATAAATGTAATTTCCTATATATTTTTAAATAAATTACTAGGAAGTCTAAGTTAACTTCAAAAACTTAAGAAAATTGTACATCAGTTTAGTACTAGAGCATATATACATTGGATGTGTGAGTACACTAAAAGACCATTGCTTGAATCTTATTTTCACTATAGAAAAATACACATGCATGTATATATATATATATATATATATTAATAAATGCACATATATTTATTTTAGTTTCTAATTTTCCTGATTCATTACACAATAACTGCTTCTAACTTAGCATACAGTAAATCATAAAATGGCACAGTAGTTTGTACTACCAGGGAATTGTATATACTTTAAATATTTTTTTAAAATACTAATTTAATTACACATATTTTTTTAAATCATTATTGAATTTAAAATCTCTAAAATAAAATTCCGTATGAAAAAAAGATTTTTACACTTGTTACATCAAAGAAATTTTAGATATCAGGAAATGCAATGTTGATGTGTATCTTTACTTTATTTTTATTTTTATTACTATTATTATTTTATTATTATTATTTTTACTTTACACAAATTGGCTAAAACTTTAAAGCAAATGAAGAAAAATACTATGTTTTGTGGGTATCTTATAATTGTCTGTCAGCAATTTCAGCATGTGAAAGCTGGTTTACCACAACTTCCAAACAAGAAGGCAATCCTGAATAAGAGCTTGGTGGTAATCTAGTGTCCAAATATTCATTGCCCAAATTTATATTATTTTTATTTATATCCCCCTAACTCACAAAAGGAAGCTCTAAACCAAGAAGTTGAGTGCGCAGAGAGAGCGAGAAAACACACCCTCACATGCAAGTGTGAACATGATATGGCTGAGCTCAGCGGACGTATAATCTTTTTCGTCAACGATGAATAATATCCGTTGCTATTCCGACGGCAGCCAACTCGGGCTCGGGCGACTTGAACACACGGGTGACTATTTCCAGAACTCTAGCGGGCCCCGGCGCCTCCTCCCGCCCCATGCTTGCGGAAAAGCCTCTGGCCCGGCCCGGTCCGGCCTGGCCTGTCCTCCGAGGCTAGTGTGTATGTTTGTGCGTGTGTCTGTCTTCGTTGCGGCGCAAGCCATTCCGTTCCTTTCCTACTGGTTCCGTTGTTGTTGTTAGCGCTCAACAAGTCCCATGCGCTCTGAAACCTATGGTTACGAATGTCTCCTCCATCTTTTTGCGTTCGGAGAAAGCATCCCATCGTGACTCTATTTGATGCCTCGCATTTGCTAACAGCAACCGCGTGTTGGCGGCACGTCGTTCATGGTTCGGGGCAACTGGGCAAGCTGCATTGCGATTAGAGTCCGAATATATCACGATAAGTGGATACTGTCGAGAGTGCTCTTGAGAGTATTGTATTCTGTAGGAGGATTGAACGCGGTCGCAGTTAGAAGTAGTGGCATCGACGAGATTTTGGAAGCTCTGGTTGTTTGAGTTGAAACGAAGAGGATTTTTTGTTTTGTTTTGTTTTGTTTTGTTTTTTTTTTTTCTTTTTGTTTTTTTCCCACATTTTCGTGTAGTTGATTATGAAACAAGGGAGTGTGTTGAAGTTGGCGAGGTGAGTATTTTGTACGTGTGGAATTCTACAATTTCAGGCTGGTTCGTGAGATTGCAAGACGTGAAGGTGTTTATTGTGGCCGTTGCTAGTAGTTTTACTGCACATGTTTTTGGAGGTGTTGCCCGAAGTCGTCAAGTCTTTACGGGCGGGGTCGAAGAGCATGTAAGAATTAGCTGTCGTATTCGTGCTGGTTTCAGGAGGGGCATGGACTACCTACCACGTGTGTGAGGTACTGGAGAATTTTGAAAGGATACTGAACGGCAAATTTTGGGAAGTTTCGGGCCCATATTCGACTTTGGCTCATGCGTGGTTGGTTTATGTACTGATATTGGATGCGTGGGAAGAGTGGATCGGAAAGTGAAATTGATAGTCATACTGAAGTGGTGCGACCGCTATCTCGCGTCTCCGTATTGTGTTCTTTTTCTTTATCTTTTTTCGTGCAGGAAATGAATAACTCTGGGAATTTTCATAAGCTGCTTTCTGGACTGAAGAACAATTCAATGAGTATTACGCTGTCAAACTCGTTGAGGTTGAATTCTGTTAGGTCTTGTGAGGGAATAATGGAGCTCTTTGCTTATGGTTTCCTTTGGCTGTAGTAGCATCAATCTTACGGAATTATGAAGTACTGGTTTCAGTCATTGAGCTGCGCAAAATTTATTAAGTTGCAGTTTATCGGATCTTCTGCATAAGCTTCGCTCTCCCTGGCCCCTCGTTCTGCGAATAATTCCTCCCTTGGCAGGATGTACGTACTTTTCTCATATTTGAACGTTGTAAGGCACAGTGTTTAACATTGATCATCTCAGAAGACTACTTTGAAGTATGAAATTAACTATTGTTCTATTCTTAATTCTTCTTAAGTCTGTATGACCTTGGAAACCGGCTTCATTATTATTTTCCTGGTGAACTGGTTACCGGACGCTCAGATGACAATCCCTCCGCCTTGACTTTTGAAAAAATTTCGACTATATTCATTACACCATATCAATTAGATTCAAAGATCCTGTACAGCGAGAGAGTAACATTGGATTTGTACCGACAAGGAGGTGACAATGAAGATAAGCGACAATGAAGGCAGTTATATGGTGAGACTTCCCTCTTTTTCAGCGTATGTTACGGAGCGGCGAGTTTTCTTCGCTTATGTAGGTTCGTGTTAGTAGTTATCACATAATTTAGGCTTCCGTCCTTCCCTTGAAGGTAAGACAATGTGGATTGTAGTGCGGTAGTATTCATACTGATGTGGCACATTGTATTTATAGTTGCGTAGTAACAATTTGCTGACATCTCAATATGCGAATTTTCTTGGCACACACTTGCTATGGATGACGATGTTTTCATGTTTCATAGATTTCCTGAACTTTGTTTAAGTTTGTATACATCTATGCCCTTTGCAGGAGTCTTACGAGGCTGGCTACACCAACGGGTATCTCACTTGCCTTCCTAAAAGGATTCTAAACTGCGTTAATGTGACTCCTCTTAAGTACCTTCTATTTACATTGGCTTAATATGAGCTGCTGATAATCAACATCTTTTCAATTCATTAAAATTTGGTCTCATCGCAGTTGATTGATGAAGAAAATGTGATATAACTTAGCTATGAGGATCTAGTCCGTGAAATAACCTTTTTCCATTCTTGAAGAGCCTAGTGTGCGCATACTGAAATAAATCCTTATGTAAATGTTAATATATGCGATTCACATTTTGACGGAGGAGAATCCAATTAGTGTGAATGTCTTCTAGGGTGCATCAGTACACGTCTTCTCAGTGCCGAATCACATGATCTGAACGTACTTTGGCCTTCTCTCTGCAGGGAGGATGTCTTTGCAGATATCCACAATTTGGATCATTGTATCAAGTACCTGAATCAGTCCCTGGTCACTTTCGGTTTGCCTTCTGGAATCAATTTGTATTCAAATGACCCTGTAAGATTTATGTCCCATGGTTAGGTTGATCTTTTGTGAAATATTCTACGAGCTATATCTTCCTCCTGCTGGCTGTATTAATAAATGTAAAAAACTCATGGTTGCGGAGGTAGTTTTTGTCGGCTTATCCCATGAGAACGACTTAATTCTGGAACAGGTATCAATCGCAAATACGTGTAACAGCTTATACGCAATGATTCAACAACGGCAACGAGACATCGAGTATCGTGAAGCTGCTAATGACGCGAGACAAAGGTTTGCTTTGGCTCAGGCATTGTGCTGTGTATTTGTTAACATTTGATATTAAAAGCAGTACATGAACCAATGCTGTTTAGAACCGCAATCTAAAGAGCAATCAGGGGTTACATAAGATAGGTTAATCCAATGTCAATCACATCAACGCTATTCTTCAAACCTGCTCTTACAGACTTCTGATTGCAAAGCTAGAATTACGACTTTGTTGACACAACCCAGTTCAATATTTTGGAAATGGACATGCAGCACTTCATCTGAGCGCGAAATTTAAATTCTAAACAGTGCGAGGCCTTTGTGGATGTTGTCCAAAGTCAACTCTTTACCTTCTAAAACCGTACAGTCTGTAACTTTTTCTGGAAATTGTTTTGCTCTGCAGATTGGTTTCAGACATGTCTAGGTTAGAGACCAGGATGGAGAGACTGTCTGATCAGCTCAGCATCAAGGAACGTGAATTGCAAATGCTAACCAGCAAGGTAAATCTGTAAAAATCAATTGTATGCTCGAGCTAGCGTCTGAAAGCAGCCGATCATTTGTTGCACTGGGTTCTCAACTGAATGGCCGTCTTTCACTGGGAATGGCTGAATATCAAATCGGTATAAACCAAGACAAGTGTACTCATTTAGAGCGAGTTTGGTTGGTGGTGACAGGAACAAAAGGTCACGGCTGCTTTTAAGACGCAGTTAGATAAATTGCAACAAGAAAAGGATGAAACTCAACGCATCCTGATTGGCGTACAGGTTTGAGCGTCGTAGCTTTCGGTTTGAAAGCATCTTGGGTCTATTTATCGTACAAAATTAGTTTGTTGCGCTGAAAAGCATTTATGAAAGTTTCAGTGCTTTCAGGCTGATTGTAAGAGTGGTTGTTTATCCATATATTCTAGATCTCTTTTGACCATAAAAATTTCAAAATTCACCTATTACTTTTCCGTGATTTAGTGATGTGATGCTGTTTGCCAATTCCCAACATATGTGCCGGGGTTAATGGACAGCAAATTAGGTCTCAGCAGAACCACCAATTGAAGAAGAAGGAGAAGGAGTATGTGCAGCTACAGGTATGCCTATGCATCGCTTCCTAACGTCAGTAAGTATCTAGAACATATCAAGTTTGAAGATAGCAGCTACGTAATTCACTTCCCAATCAGAATCTTCAAGTTCAAATGTATTTTGCGAATTCTGGGTAATTGGAGAACCAGTTGGTTAACGGTGTTAAATTCTGGTGGCAACTATGAAAGTTTACTAGAGTTCATTGCAAGAGGTGTCAGCCGATAACAATTTACAAGGCTTTTATTGGGCGCAGGAACGGCTCAATCAGATATTGATGGAGAAAAAGAAGGAGTCCAAGAACACCGCGGAAGTCATGAACCTTCTTCAGGTACAATGCAATACAGTGCCTGAAATGTTTTCACAATTTTCCAAGGGACGCCGTTTTGTGCTCGACTGCCTTATGTCTTAGTTTTTTATGGACATATACCTATGTGCTCGTTTGTCTATGAACACGAGTAAACCACGTGAACACCTTTTAAGAATATTCTGGATTTTTGAGTAATTTAGAACTCGACAATTTGCCATCGAGGTTATCAGTAGTGGTCAGCGGAGAGGATTTTTTCAACGTCTGTCGAGCTTGTTCAACAGACGGCGAAAATCATATAGAATTCTAGATTGGAAGAAGTTTTAGCTTTGGATCTGCTGATGTTTCATGTCAACAAAGTATGCTTGAAATCCGGGAGATTCGTATTGACGATTGACAGTTTTAGGCACAATGAAAATGATGACAAATTATTTGAGTGTATGTGCCGTTTTTTCGTTTCAGAAAGAAGGTAGGCAACGGGGGACATGGAACACTAAGAAAGCTGACGGCGACTTTTACAAGATGATTGTGGGTTCAATTTTATTTATCCCTCCTGTTGTTTAGAGGAAGTCTTCTAGTGATTTTTAGACTTCTATGTTTTATCATATGGCTGCTCTCGTTTCAGGATTCTCTATTATTGCCATAGCCAAATCTTTTTGGTATGCTAGACTTATGTGGGATGATATTCCGGAGAATCAATGTGCCCTTTCAAATGTTTTATTTTGGCACTGCATGCGCTATGCTAGTTTTAGCTGGCTGAAGCTCTTTCTCTATTTCCGTCCAGCCAATTTATCCACTAACGCAATCTAAAATAAGTGTTATGTGGTGATCACATTTAGAGGATTGTGGTAGTGAGAAAATATGCATGTGTGGTATTTTGCGCAGGTTGATGCCTACGAGTCCAAGAAGCAGGAAATAGTTGCAGAAAATGCAGATTTGCGTGCATTATTAGGATCCATGCAGGTATGTTATCAGTGTCTATGTTAAGTACTACTGATGTGTAGGTATTGTGTAGAGTCGCCTGTACTTCAGTTGAAGCTTAGTAAGTAATCACAAAATGTGTAAATTTTGAAGATCCGTGTAAAATTTCTTAGATACTTCAAGATTTTATTTGTGATGGTCCATCATACTCTTTTTGATTCGATTGCTCGATGATTCACAGAAATGCAAAAGGAATCGTCCAACTTTGACATGAGCTGTTGTACTGAAATTGACCACATGAAACTCTGATAGTGGTATTCCTGGTTTGTAGTCTGTCCTGTATGTGTTATGTAACGTTTCACTTCGTTCCATTTCGGAAATTTTCAATCCGTGTTTCTTTACAGGCAGGGATGCGAGATTCTTTGAATGCATCAAATGGCATGAATAGGCCTGGAAGCATTGTAAATGGTAGTGCGGACCTTCAGCTACCTCCGACTCGTTTAGGAGACCGAACGGTAATTACCTCTGCTGCTTGCAATATGAAGTATTCTATATATAAGTATATCTAGCATTTCTCTTCAGTTTGTGATGAAATGTTTTGGTACTTTTGAGCATCCGTGTTGTGCCATGCCTGCATTATAACAAAGAGGTGTGTTCAGTGCATAAGGCCATCCGCTAGGACTATCTTAAGGAAGTTATGATGAACATTGTTGTTTGTTGGTCAAAACCCACTGAAGTGTGAATTATCGAGCCATCCTTTGCAGGAAAACACTCTAAACAACATGTATAGAGGTTCTCGATGGAGATTCTCGATAGGTTACTCATGGAGGTAGTGTTCTGACTTCTAACAAAGAGAAGGTTGCATGAACAGGATACCTTTGATTCGTCACCTTATATGGCCAGAGATCAAATTGAGCGGAGCTTGCGAGAAAAAGTGTACACTATAAAGGTGGACCCACGTTTCTTATTCATGCTTTAAACTAGATAATGTAAATACCTTGTTAATTTAGTGTCATCAGGTATAATTAACTGCAGGTGATAGAATGCGTGGTATTGTTTTGCTGGTGAAGTATTTTACATCAGACAATCACTAATGTGGATCTTTGGCGACTCTTGCATGTGATATCTATTTGTACGTCCGAGTACAATGCTGAGTACTATATTTCGAAGATGATTAAACGCTACATTGTTTTATTTGTCGAAAATAATTTTTGTGTGAAGGAGCTTTGGATGCAACTACATGGTCACAAGGAAGCGCAAGATAGTCAAAAGGAAGCACTAGCTTGTGACACTAGTGTACGTGAGTTGCGGCTAGAAGAACAGCTCGCAGAGAACTTCAGCATTATAGATGAACAGGTGTAGAGAAGACTATTTAAAACTTCAAACTTTTAATCAATTGCAGTTGATTATTCTATCTATAGCTATTTACTGAATGTTTCATGGTTTCTGAAACTTATCTTATCTTTTGATATTCCAGGCCACACTTACGACGAAGCACGTCCCTGACTCAGTAGATAATAGGTACTGGTGGTGCTTTGTATAACTTTTCTGGAATTTGTACAGTCAGTTTTGGGTCTGTATAGTTTACTCATGTTAATAAACCGCTGGGCTTCTCTTATAATTGTTCATCGAAAAGTGGATCTCTCATCTGGGGCCGAAGATCTGAGAAAACTTAGGCAGAGTGATCTAAATTGTTTTCTCTACTTTTTTTTTTCTTACTTTTGGTTGGTTGGTTGGTTTGGGAACGTATTTCAGTGATAGTCTCAAACTACCACAGCAGAGTGAAGAGGCTACCACTCTCACAATCGATGAGGTACCTACTTTCTTTAGCTGAATTGATTTTCATAAGCTTATTTGCTCAGGGATTTAACCCTGCACCTCATCTGGAACCAGTGAGTAATTCATGTTAACTAAAATACACTGCTCTCTTCGTTAATTCTCTATTTAATAGGCACGGTGATATTCTTGGTATAGTTGTGCCTTATTATACGTACCAATGTCTGTAGGAATGTTTCAAAATATGTCGTATTTTGGGATCAATAGTATCTCTTAAACTCATGTTGCTTACTTGGAGGCTTTCAAAATGTTGTAAGGTGTCCACTAATTCTCGTATCTATGCACCAATATGAGCATGCTGACTGACACTGGAAAAAATGAACAGCATGCGGATATGAAATCGAGCGAAGACGTCAGAAAGCAAAATAAAAATCTTGTCAAGTCCCAGCAGGAATTAGCGGTTGGTTCTCCGCAGCCACCTTATGTTTCTCATAGAGTCAAGTCCCAGCAGTGAAACTGCTCAAAGAATGTCATTGACCAGTGCAGGAATCTTTTAGTCACTGTGATTTAATATAGATGTCTTTGGTGGAATCTATTATTAGAGGATGAAAATACGAAATCTCTGTTAGTCTAGCGATGACGTTGAATTTTTTGTCAGCTTGAAAACAAAGTTCTAGTTTTGAATCATGAAACTGTAGGCACAGCAACCATCACAAGCATCTACAGTAACATTAATGGCTCCAGGATTTCGAGGACACTCTGGACTCTCAGACCCCAAGGTATGTAACTCAAAACATTACAAATTCTCTGCAGATTTGCCCAATGAAGAATCTCACAGGCTTCCTCCATGATGTCACTTCTTTTTTCCTGTGGAAGAATACGAGCATTTCAAACATGCCACTAGCGATGCCACTAGCCATGCGACCACTAGGGATTCCGTTGCTCTTCTGGTGGTGAAGAGAACTTCGGTCTTTCAATTACTGCCTCATCAGAGTCTAATAGCCCGCAGTTTCTAAGCCTAGTGAAATCTGACTGGACAGCGTGTTTTAAACATGTCGAGCATGCTATAGATTTTATGTGTCCACTTCATCACCAGCATTTCCAATACAATTTACCCTTCTTGCAGAAACAGGATGAACCTGAAGCTACGATTGCATGTCCTGAACCGCTAATTAATGATAAAGAATCTGCTGCAAGTAGGACACTTATCGTCGCGCCAGAAAATAAGATTTCTTGTATCCTGGACACACTGATTGCATCTCAAAATTCTGAAGTGGAATCTTCAGTGATTGATTTTCCTCCCGCTGTTAAACGTTATGAAAATCCATGGCTTGATCCTTTGATATGGGAAAAAATCTGTGCTCCGATTGAGAGTTTTGGAAATCAAGAGGACGACTCATTGCAGTTTCATAACGAGGAACTGAATCCCGAAGCTCCCAATCTGGAATCGAGGATATCACCCCCCCAGTGTTCTGTGATGCTGGAATGCACTCCTCGATATCCCCACCTGCTGCATAGCACATTTGTACCTCCTTAGACCCAGTTATGCAATAATCAGTTCGTGAAGTTCCTCTTATTGAAGCATTACATTTAGGATGGGTGCCAACCACATTGATTTGAAGAATTTTAGGAACGCCCATTCAATGTCTCAATGCTTAGGATCTGGCTGGGAGTGAACAAGTTTTTCTGCTCCAAAACAAGAGAGGGTACCTATCCGAACCGGTTCTTTCTTACTTCTGGAAACTTCAGCAGTGATTAACATTTGTACATGTACACAAGCTCGGGATAATGGCGCAAGCAATTTATTACAGTTATAAGGTTCTTCATGAGAACGTACATCTCCGAGTTTCAGGAAATGATTTTGCAGGTTCAGTGATGCACGGGCTGCCCAAGCGGTACATATGCAAGACAGTTACATTTAGATGGGGTTTGGTCAGAATTAAGTGAAGTAGGAGTCTATAAGATTAAAGACTTGGCTGTAACATGTTGGCTTCCGACTTCAATGGCCTTTCGCTTATGATGTACCTCAACTGGTTTTCTGGGTGCTGTTTTCTTGGTATATATAAGATCTCGACCAACGAGGTAAGGCTCGCTGAGACGATACAAACTGTTTACCTGAAGGAGTCCCAAGCAGTCGCTCCTTTTCTCCACCGCTTGTTCATTTCGTCACCAACGAACCTGGACTTGTTGTAACCGTCTCTACAATACTAACAAGCGATGTTCTTCGCCTGCCCAAGAAGATTCGTCGGATATTCTCTGCAAATTGTTGAGTTGGTACTACCACGCCTGTTCATATTAGGCAACTACTGAAAACTCAGTATTGCTTTCCTCGGAAATTTCCCACAAGGGCTGGCAGTGGGTTTTGTTTAAGATGAAGTGTTTTCACTTTGTTTGATGTATTTGTAATGAGACAAACTGACGTACACCTAGGCTTACACTAGTACTGCTCCATCTTAGTACTCTTTATTACCGTCTTATTCTCGAGGACGGCCACGAAAGCTTTGCGTGAACTGCTCCACTACATTCTCCACTGCGTTTAGGCCTCTCTACTCGTCCGACGCGCTTCTCATTTCTTGGCACCAGCGGTTAGGGTTTCAGAGCTCTTTGCGCTTGAAGAGTGGAATACAATGGTTGATGTTTCAACCTCACCGCCCCGTACCCACCATAGCCCAAGTTTGTGGTACCTACCAAAACTAGAAAACCTAACACCAGCCTGCTAATCAAGGAAGATTTTCCTTTAACACATATCTTTCAATGCACAGCTATTGAAATGTTCCCTTGCCAAAAGTTATCTCCTTGTGGTCTTTAGACTCCAAACCGAGCCCAAGATTAGGGTGTTTCGGATGCTAGCGACTGTTTTGTTAGCTGCACAACAATAGGGTTGTACCACACTACACTAAGTTGTCAGTGGACACTATGAAAATTAGGGTTGCAAGTTCGGATTTACAACATTCCAGTGTACTTTCAGGTTTGATGTTGATTCACATGGGAAGGATTCCATGATGACTATTCTGGTGCCAAGGACTTTAGACTTTGACTAAGAATTGGGTCCTTTGAGAGTGGAAAATCAAGTCAATTCTATTCTCCTTTTAGGGGATTGGGTTTAAATTGATGCTTTCTTTAGACATTTTATAATTACCTAAACTCAAAATTTTATTAAATTTTATAAAGTGTCTAAAGAATTTAATAAACAAAAAATTGAACATATTCTTATATATATATATATATATATATATATGTGCTATATTTTATCTTTCATTAAAGATTTTTTTTGGCTATAAATAATATTTAAAATTTATAAAATGAACTCTAATGTTTAAATTTCAACTTACAAATTGAATTTATGAATGTTTTGTTGTATACAAAACAATCTTTTGTCATTTTTTTTAAATTGAATAGATTGTCTTAGTGGTTATACATTGATTTTTTTATTTTAACATGCTATTCTTAAAATAAAATAAAATATTCTAATATAAATAAATAAATAGATAAATAAATAAATAAATAAATAAATAAATAAAGCAAAATATTAAATTAACCTTGGATTTTATTAAATGGACCCATCTATCAAAACCATCATTACATCCTTCTCTCCTCTTCTTCTGTTCTTTGTTCCAACCTCCTTCCTTCTCTCAAATTCCATTCTTAGTGATTGTTCTAAGGTCATATTGCTTCTATTGATGATCTTCACAAGAAGACTTCTAGCTCCTTGAACGCATGATAGAATGCTCATTGGTAAAGTAGATTTGAAAGAAAACTAAGAGGCCTTGTTTTCATGTAGCAACTTAGTCTCTTGAGCAATCAAAACTTGTTGCTATGCTTTATCATAAGCTCAAATCATTAATGTATTGCATAGGTGATGATGAATCAAAATACAATGCGTCTATGAAAGATGCCTAAATACAACACAAGGCAAGTTTACTATATGTGTGCTACATCAATATCTTATACCACAAGCTACTAACACATGCAACATGAGACTTACTTGTTGGCCAAGTTTCTAACCTATTAATTACCTTAAGATATATATAAAGGTAAAAACATATTTATGAAGCTTCTAATAAGCTATCTTATAAGATATTATCAGATTATTCTATTTTTATCTATTCATAATATCTAAATAATTATTAGAATAAATATGTATATCCATGATATTATCATTTTTTTTTATAGAAGAGTTCCATGAGGAGCGGTGATCACATATTGAAGAAGTTTAAGATGTCATGTGATAATACAATTATATAGCAGTTATCAAGGCCAAATGAGGTCATATAAAGTACTAATATGTTATTGCATACTATATTCAAAAAAATGTTTCAATATTGTTCCAAATTAAATTGGTCATAGTTCCACAATTACTTAATAGATTCTTTTCAACTTGGACTCATTTGGTAGCTATAAAAGAATATTTTATTTGCTATACAAACCACATGTCATTATTTATTAAAATTCATCTATAATACACCATTCTTTCTAAAATATGTCAACATTGAAATAATTTTTTGAGTCACTATATATATAGAGGCAAAAATAAAGCTTTCTTCACTCTTATTAATATCTTTTTAGTTCTTAGTCTTGTTTCAAGACTTTTTAGTCTTATTGTGTTTTCTAATAGCCATTATTTATTATAATACTATCTTTTAATGACTTTTTAATCTTTTGGAGTGACATAAAAGTGTATTGAGTTTTCTTTCATTGAAATTTATGTCCATGACAAGGAATTATATTTTTTAGCCACAATAATCCTAAAAGAATTGAATTGGTGGAAAAATTAATTATATCAAATATTACTAAGCTATTATGACTACTTATTATATTTAAAGAAATTATTTCATAGGTAACATCTCTAGAATACAATAAACAACCATTAATTATTTCTTAAGGCATAGATTTGATTTTTTTAACTTAGGATATTTCTTATTTTTTAAAAAAGTCTTTGTCTATAAAATAGGCTGAGACTCCAAAATTTACAAGGCTAAGACTTTATAATTTTTTGGTCCTAAAAAAATTTCTATTGTAAAACAAGGTGAAGAATATTAAGAGAAGATAAAGCTTTTATTAATTATTGCATAAGATTATAATTGCATGGTTTTTATTGTAGCTAGAAAAATTGGTTTTTTGACATATCATCCTCTTTGGCAACCATGATTCTTATTTTGTAGATGTGTTGCTTCTTTGAATAATATTAAGCAATATTCTTAAGTTTTCCATAATATAAGCATAATCTTTTTTAACAATGTTGAGTCTTTTCTTGCTCAATAAGAAGTTTCAAACATAATATATCAATTTGCATAGGTTTAGTCTTGATGAATAAGCTTCTATGAACTTAGAAGCTATTGCCATGACATAACTTGTACCTCTCCAATCAAATCTTTGTTCTTAACATCTTTCAAAGAGTCGATTGTTGCATGCAATGATTTAAGAAATAAATTATTTTGATGAATTTGTTCTTAATATTATCAATAGTAAATCTTTGATATTCTTTTTTAATCTATATCAAAATTGATTGATAAGAGCCTTATCATTTTAATCTATATAATAAGTAAGATTTTAGAATTGAATAGCATATATGGTGGTTAAATGTGATCTTTGTTATAAAGATATGAATTTGGCCTCTGCTATCCTTTTTCAATCACTTTTTTAAAATTTGGCCATGAAGCTTTTTAATAATGAATTTAAATTATAGTATAGTTGTGAATCATTTTCCATTAAAGGTGTAAATCAAAAGAAAGCATTCCTAGAAAGAAGTATACATATGAATCTAACTTGAGTAAATCCATCAAGATATTGAAAATGATGCAATCTTAGATAGAACTTTACTTATTGTAGAAATCTTTATAACTTTAATCATGTTCTATTGAACTTCTCAAACATACTTATCTTTATCTCCCTCATACTTATAGTAGCAAAACTTCTCAGATTTAGTTCTAAATTTGATCTACTTGCTTCTTTCAATCGTACAATTTTTTGGTATAGACTTTAAACTTTATTGTTGACATCTTCTATAGGCATTGAAATGCTACTTCTATGATTGATATTAGAGATACTTGAGATTTCTTTCCTAAAAGTATTAATAAGTTGATAAATATTTATAATAGTTGCAAATCTATTTTTACTTTTGTTAAAAGTAGCATCCATAGTTTTTTCTTTATAGAAAACTCAAAAAAAATCTATGAATCAAATTAGAAGAAGATAATCTGTAACATCTAATATCGAATGAAAATTTCCACAAAAATCGGTAGTCTACTCTCTTTAAAGAAAAAATCATTATTAAAAAACTAAAATGTTACAATAAAGGTATATAGCCTACAACCTTCAAAACACAATAATATAAATAGAATAGTTTATTCACTCCTAAAAATAAGATATGAATAATAAATTAATACTCTTATCAAATTGTGAAAGATATGTATTTCAAAAAACTAAACGATCAATACACTCTTGTGTTACTTAAAAAGGCTAAAAAATCATTCAAAGATGATATGATATTAAACTAGAATGGCTATTTCCAAAGATAAAAATATTAGAAAAGCTTAAACAAGACTAAAGACTAAAAAGGCATTGACAAGAATGAAGAAGGATTTATTCTTGCTTCTATATATACTATGTAACTAGAAGCTACATGGCAATGTTCTGTAAGACTTCCAATATATGTCTAATTTGTAAGATATGTGTCTTAACTTGCAAGATAAGTTTACTATATGTGGACGATATCATTAACTTGTACCACAAGCTATCAACATATACAACATGTAGCTAATTTATTGGCTATATTTCTAACCTACTAATTACTTATAGATATGTATAAAGATGAAATTGTATCTATAAAGCTTCTAGAAAGCTTATTCATAAGATATTATTAGATTAATTTACTTTTATCTTTTCATAATATTTAAGTTACTATTGAAATAAATATGTTTACCATAATAGAGATTGTAAAGAATTTTGCTATATAATTTCTAATTAGATAGTATGTACAAAGATAAGAATGAAGCTGCAATGGGGCATGGATAAGATAATTGTAATATTGATGCATAGAGGTAGATAATTGGAATTATTTTTGAAAAGTTTCTAGAAGTTTTTAGATTTGGAGCCAAGTTGATGGCCTATGTAGGATCTACCATAGAACATCTTAAAAGACTTTAGGGTAGTTATTCAGGTAGGATCTACCTCTAGAACCTTATAAGAAGGTAGTTACCAAAATAGGGCCCATTTCTAAAATCTTTTAAAATGGAGGTTATCTTGGTAGA